TGAAGAAGATCATCTCAATAATAGCGAAGACGCTATTATTGATTCGGATGATGATGACGATGCTGGTATATTCAGCATCGCCAACGATTATGCCAGCGAGGAAGAAGACAACCTCGCTGAAGAAGAGAGCAATCTCTTAGCAGTGCGCACGCAGCGCACTGCTAAACAAAACAAAGAGTCAGCAGAGAACTTCCTGCTGACTCGAGAAGCGGTAGTCCGTTTCGTTCAGGACTCCATCGCAAATGCGGTGGACCGTCAGAAACGGAACGCAGACAAGAATGGAAGAGCAAATGTTCTTTCATTTAAGGTTAATGACCTAGTACTACTGTCTACGGTAAACCTACCTGGACATGCAGTCACTAGTGTCGGCAGTAGTAAACTACTGCCGAAATACATTGGGCCATTTCGAGTGTTGCATCGCAAGGGCAATGCATACACACTCGAATTGCCACGTAGGATGCGCACGCATCCTACGTTTTACGTGGGGAGGCTTAGGTCGTACTGTCAGTACGAGCCTTCTTCTTCCGATGAAGATAGCCCCCACGTTCAAGAACATCCATCAAGTTCTTGCGTTCGCGCTCCAGACGATCCGTCTGGTCGCGCAGATATGATACCTCGGTATTCAACCGAGTTATCTCTCCGCGAGCTGTCGCCAGCTCGCCGAAAAGGGAGCGGACATCCCGCTCGACCTGAAGCTGCGCCGTGGCATAATCGGCGCGATCCCTCGCCCGATCAGCCTCGTGATCCTTGCGGTTCTTCCGCACGGTGTCGGTCAAAGCGTAGCGTCGGTCGCGCTCGTGCTTCAAGTCATCGCGCAATTCATCGATTGCGCGATCCATCTCGTAAGGGTCGAGATGGTGGGCCTGGGGTTCTGGAGGAGGTCTTTCCTCCTCCACCACATCCTTTGGTGGATGCTCACGGTGATCAACGCTTTCTAGTGGAGCGTATCTTGAATCACCGTGACGATTCAGGATCAAGGACGAGCTACCTCGTCCAGTGGCGGGGGTATCCACCCTCTTGGAACAGCTGGGAGCCCCGCTCTCAGCTGTTAATGGATGTTGAAGGTCTCGTCCGCCAATATGACGAGACCCATCCGATGAGTCCTGTGGCCCATCGGTAAACACGCGCCCTAGGCGCTTGTAGACGGATTGCAAGTTTGCAATCGCGTCACGCATCTCCTCCGAGAGATGTGCCCTTCCCCAGGGCGAACTTAGGGAGTACACATCCCTATGTGCACGCTGCGAGTTGTCAACACAACTCGCACAAGGGTCTCCCCATGTGAGGCAAGGAATGCCTGCCTCACTCGATAAACAATGCAACCGGTACCTAGCACCGGTTGGCGTTCGCCGTTCGAACCTGAGGCGTGTTGCCTCAAGTTTCTTGAGCCACCCCTCTCGTCCAAAATTCTTGACGTTTTGGACGAACGCGTTCCACGCAGCCAAAAGCGATGTTTTGTCACGCTTTTGGTTGCTATTGTACCATCGATGTCTAAGGAAGACATCGAGATAAAAGTCTTCTTCAGCGCGAAAGTTCTTCGCGCTGGGACTCAAGCCGTGAAGCTCGGTTGCATCGAATAAGGGTATTCGATGGTGTTGGCCTGTCTCGTGAGACAGGCTATTGATGAGCCGTTCGGGCAAACGCCACGGCTTCAGCTCATCACGCTTCACAGTGGTACCTTTGTTGGTACCACGGCTGTCAGTATGACGATGGGTTGCACCATCGTCAAGTCGCTCGTGCGAAGGAGCACGAGCTGATTGCGGTGATGAGCAAACATACTCATCATCAGATTCGTCATCACTGCCGAACAGACTGTGTTGCAACTCACGAGTCCGTTCGTTCGGCAGTGGCCTTGGCGAATACTGAGGCGTCGCCGGTGAGCGAGACGCCTCTGGAGCATTGCCCGAGTCAGACACGTCTGACTCGCCAGAGTAGATGACCTCCACATCGGGGTCATCGTACGCACGCGGCGTGATACCGCGTGCACCTGCAGCACCTGTTGCTGCAGGCGAAGAAGGGGCGGCAGACGACGAAGCGTCTGCCGCAGAGGCTTGCACAGCACCAGGCTGTGTGGGTCTTGAGTCACCTCGCATAGACATGTTAGCTATGCGAGGTCAAGCGGAAAGTGAGTGGAACGGACCAAACAAGTACTCCCTGTCCCAATGGTGGCCAACGGGTGGCCTCCATATTTCGATAGTCACACGGTGACTATCAGTTAAGGGGGGGTGATGTAACGGGGCAGCCCGTTACATAATATTGTCACTTAAGGAAAGTGACAATAAAGAATATAAAGATGGATATTCTTTAAACAATATCACCGAAGCGGTGATATTGAAGGGTCGACCAGAAGGGTCTGTTCATTGGTTGATATCGTGATGATATCAACCCACCAATCGCCGCAAGACGCGCGCAATGAGTGGTGACGAGACGTCACCATACATGCAGTTATATTAGTATAATTGAATTAAGTCAAACGAAGAGACAGTAGTTTAAAGACTTAATTTATTAATATAACAGTTCTACTTTTACCCTACCTACGCTTCCTCGCTCGCCACGTGTACGTCCGTCGGGGCACCCGTTTCCCTTGCGTTAAGTTACGCAAGGGTGTGCCCCGTTACAGTACAACTGCAACAAGCGTTACTCCTTCTGCTCGGTCACTGTTAGCCACCACTCATGAGAGCATTAGTCGCGCACATACGCGACTGGCTTGAAAGTTGCTGAGGGCGCAACACTGAGCAAAGATTCGAGACAAAATGGATTCTCTATCCTGTAAAGAAGCCCGCACGAAAGAAATATGGCTTGCGTATCGACGAACAACGAACTAGCACTTATGACGCTACATTATTATGAATCACCCCTACGTCATCCGGAGCCCAATGGTATAAGATATACCAACTAAGTAGCTGTCGGCCACTATTCTTGCTCGGCGGCAAAGAAGCTTACCGATACTCTCCTCCTCATCGCATGCTTTCGTTTCGTCTATCGCATTTCCCGATGATGTTGTCGCACAGGCAAGATGGACCGTCGTCTCCCTTTTCTCACATTAGTCTACTGAACATATCAGCAGCATCGTCACTTGCTTCGACACACAACAAATACGGCAACAACATAGTTTTTTACCTCTTGACGCACATCCCGTGCCTTAGCCGCCGCATCAGCTATGCAAACCTTGAATGAATTCTCTGGACTGGATCACTCGTGTCAATCAGCGAGGTCCATATCGTCTAGCTGACCACTCACCTTTTCGCATTCGCAACACAACAGTATTATGCTGGCGAAGAAGCAGCAATTATTGGTAGCTAGTACACTGTTCGTATTCAATGATGTTTGCTGCATTCGCTTCCATGTTCTTTTCAGCATCTGCACGGGCGTTTTTTGTCGTCATTTGATATAGAGGGCACCTCTTGATCACCTCAGGTGTACCAATTGACCTTCAGTGGTGTGTAATATCCATGAACGAGGTCACTGCTTTCGCAAAGTTTTCTCTATTCAGAGTTTTACATACGTTGCCTTCAGCATAAAGTGGTATGACCTATAACGATGTCGAGAAGTATCCGATGATGGCCGGATGTGTAGCTGCATAAGTTCATTGCTCTTCATCATGACAGAGCCTTCTGTAGTAAGTTTCTTGCGTAATTGCTGTTGTTGCAGCAATAAAAATCAACGATACTCACTGATTTCATTGATACGTCGAAGCTCGTCACACTTGCTTGCAAGTGGGCGACTTATTTTGATGCTATATAATGACAAACGGCTCTATTCAATCAAGTCTTGCAATCACATTTTACAGTAAAACAACGATGAAGTAGTAATTACACCGAGTGCGTCGTATCTCTACTGATTCGTGGGCTAGAATGTAGACCTTTGAATTTTCCGGATATTCACCCACGTGGTACCGCAGTGTTATGCCTGGTGAACATCTCTGTGGCCGGCGTATCATGCACAGATCGCAAGTCAATTACGACATTCAATCTCGTCAACGAGAGTTTCGCAGTCGCCATGTCGCAACGGCTGGCTAGTGCTCGCATAACTGAACAAAATGCAGCTAAATCTACTTTGAAGCCCACACCGCTCGCTTCCTTTCAATACACGAGCTCCTTCTGTGCAGGCAACAGCACAAAAATGATCACCATTCGTGTGGATCAATTGTGGCTGCTGCAAAGTCGTGTACTCCGTTCGCTTGAAATGAAAGGAGCGGCGGGCGATTAAAATGAAGTTGACATGTACGTAACATGCACAGATACGTTGCAACGCCAATTTGTCAGGAGAAGATCACAGTGTAGTCGGAAGAATTTGCGCACAAATGCAGATGTGCGATTTGTTGTTACCAGCCGGAAATCGCTTGCTGTAAACCTTACAACGACAAGCACGTGATAGGTCCTTGCATCAGTTGTGCGGTATCTAGTGCTCGTTGATTACGTCCAGCAGTCACAAAGACAGCCGTTGTACGTCTAAACTTTCGACCGAAGCTCTTGCAACTCGCCATGACGCGACCTTGCGTACGCTGTCCTACGCCGAAATGCGGAATCTAGCACACCACCGTTGTTTCGCGCAGCGACATTATTTCACACGTGAAACAGAAGAGAAAGTGTCAAAGCCACTGCGACAGCGGAGGCTGCAAGCGGAAATGGGAAAAGTAATAGCTGCCCCCGTTTCCTCCAGCGTACGATGATGTGGCAGCAATTAATGAAAACGACGTCATCATCGATCTCGCACCAAGCTGATGGGCGAAAAAACCGAAACGAAGCACCACAACTTTGTTGCTCTCGCCGATCAGAGGCGCGTGATAAATAGTCTAGCAAGGCCTTGTGATATCGCAGCCGCTCTTTTTCGCTGTTTGGCATTGTTCACATTTAACAAACACACCTAAAAACAAGACGTCTGTTTTCGACCCAAAACAAGTAACGCGCTAATTACGACTTCGAAATCCACCGCTGGCAGCTCTTTTATGTATGAACCGCTGGCCCTCCCCCTGCCACGCGGCACTTTCACAGTTCCTCCTCATGGCTCTGTGGTCCGCTCTGTCCGTCCTGTGCGTGACGCTGACGTGGGCCGCGGCTCACGCTACGCGCACGGCTGTGGTACTGGAATCCCCCGCTCTGCAACAGACGCACTCGAAGTTCTTCAGGCTGCTCGAAGGTGCGCTGATATTGCTTGGCTCAAAGGCCCGGGCGCGCGAAGCTCAATGTTTGGAATCTCTGTATGATTCTCTGTTGACCTGTAGCCCGAGGCCATGAACTGGACTTCTTCACGGGCGACAAGCAGGACAAGGAGCCGTTGCTGGAGCTGGAACGCTATGGAGAGCGCACTTACGACAACCTGGTGCTCTTCACGCCCCAGAAGGCGCTGGGGTCGCTACGCAAGTCGGACTTGCTGCACTTTGTCGAAGAAGGCGGGAACGTGCTGCTGTCAGCCAGCAAGAAGCTCACAATGGTGCAGCGAGACTTTGCACTGGAGTGCGGCATTGAGTTTGAGAAGAAGGGTAACGTGGTGCTGGACCACGTGCAAGCGATCGCGGACGACAACGATATCTACAACTCGGTGATTGCTGCCAAAGACTTTGTGGCCTCGGAGCGCGTGGTCGGATCGCTGGCGACCAAGCCTAAACCCGTGGCGTTCTCTGGTATCGGCATGTCGCTGGAGCCCACCAACATTCTGGCTTTTCACGCGCTCATGGCGCCCGCCAGCGCGTATTCTGCTAACCCGGTCAAGCCCATCACGAGCAAAATTGTATCGAACGATCTACTGTTTGGCAACCAGATTGGTCTTGTGGCGGCCGTGCAAGGACGTAACAACGCACGTCTTGTCTTTTCGGGCTCCCTGGATCTTTTCAGCGACAAGTACCTTGACAATGGAGAGTTTGCAAACGCCGAGTTTGCCGATGCTGTGACCAAGTGGGCCTTTCAGGAGAGCGGTGTGCTACGCATGACCAACGTGAAGCATCAGCGCGAAGACGGATCGCAACCTGCCAAGATGCTGAGTGACGCTCACCGTGGCGACCAGCCGATTACACTGTACCCGGATGCTGAAGTCGCACGTGACTCGCTTGTGTACCGCGTGAAAGACAACCTCACCTATTCGTTTGACTTGCACGAGCTGAAAAACAAGAAGTGGGTGCCGTACAAGGCCGACGACGTGCAGCTGGAGTTTGTGATGCTGGACCCTCACGTACGCACGACAATGGTGCATGACAACAGAGGTCATTTCCACGTGACTTTCCAGTCGCCTGACGTGTATGGCATCTTCCTCTTCCGTGTACTGTACCGCCGCCTGGGACTATCGACGATTTACTCGACGACGCAAGTGTCGTTGCGCCCATTCAAGCACGACGAGTACGAGCGCTTCATTCCGGCTGCTTTTCCGTACTACGCCTCAGCCTTCTCGATGATGGCCGGTGTGTTCCTCTTCAGCGTGTACTTCCTCTTCCACGAAGGCAAGAAGTAGGAGGTTGGAAGCAGGCTAGCTACCCTGATAGAAGAGACAGGTAGCGTGGTTGGAATGAGCAAAAAGAGACGAGCCGTTTGTCCAAGGCCAGTTGTTTGCTGTGCATGTCTTGTCTCTAGCGCGACAGCCATGGACCCTTCTCGTGCTGGTAAAACATGACACATCAATCGTATCAATCGCATCATGGCGACTCGTTGTGCAAGTCATTTAACTGTCAGCACGTTGATCTGTGTACACTCAGATGCTGTGTCCTACTGTGATAATATTCTAAATTCATGAAACTGATTTTTGAGGAATTTGACTAAAACCAATCTACTCGCATCCACAACATTTACATGAACGCACCTACGGAATCTCGTACCTACAGGCCGCCTCATGCCAACTGCTGCTTCAGTGGTGCCGGCACCACAAGCGCAGAGCCAGAGTGCGGCGCGTGACAGCGCAGCCTTTTCTCCTTCCGTGCTGATGCTGCAGCTGTGTGGGCCATTGCCGTTCTTGGATGTTTCTTCGGGAGCTTGTCGCGTGCATAAGACCCCATGGCTCGGTGCGAATAGGACCCTGAGCCCGGTTTGATCGCAGCAGCCAACAGTTGATGACGAGCGCCACGAGACTGACGCGTGCGTTTTGAGCCCAAGACACCACCGCTCTTGCCTGTACTCAATTGCATACACGCACGCTGTAACCCGCGAAGGATTTCTTCCACCTCGTCTTGCTCCTCTGAGGTCACTTCCTTATTACGCACGTACGTCGAGCTCCCCAACTTTTTCGGAATACTGGTCTCAGCAATGCACTCACTCGCAAGCTTCTTGGAGATACGCATGGGATTGCAGCATAGTCGCTGCGATAGGAAAGCACGAAGCGTTGTACCCTCAGCAATCCGCAGCACCCCTTTGAAGAAATAGTCAATAAGCGCAGCTGCGTACACCTCTTCGTCATAAGACCAGGAACCTGTGCGCCGAAAAGAGGGATCGGGGCTTACACTCGGTGAATCAGCCACGCTGAGCGTCCCTGCGCTAGACATACTATCGACACTGCTTTTGCGGTCAGGTTTGATGGACACCGCTGTCGACGAGGAAGCACTCTTCCGCGCATCCTCATAAGCCAGCCGAAGCTCTGTGATGCGACTTTCCACTTCAAAAAGATCCTCAGCAAAATCATCGTCGTCCGATTCATCCGACGAAACAGCTCCTGTTACCTTGCGCACATACCGGATCGAGCCGACATTATCAGGCAGCTTGCGCTCTCCCATGCGCGGCGGCGCTAGTTTCATACTTAGCTGCATCGACGTGCAATTTAGTTGCTGACACAAGTAACGCACCAGTTTCGTGCCTTCAGGTATATCCAGCGAGCCTTCCATGAAAAACTCAAACAGCGTAATGACAAACTCCTCTTCTTCAGGTGACTCGAAGCCTGTGCGGATGATCGTCGGCTTACCGCGCTTTGGCTTCAGCATTTGCTTCTTGCGGTCATGATGGGTCAACTTTCGACAAGTAAGCGGTTCACTCTCGCCGCGTCCCTTTGTCAGTCTGTGCTGGGAATGACCAAAGCTTCCGTCCTTATCGTCGCTGCGGCTGCTGTTCCACTGTCCAGTGTCAAAGCTGGCCTGACGAAGCCCCTCTAGCACAATCTCAATCTCCTCGCGTTGCTTCTTACTTGGGGCAGGGTCAGCTGCAATGAACACCGAGGCCCCGACTTTTCTTGGAATTTTCTGCCCGGCCAACGAGCCTGTGCCGAGCTTCATTGAGACCCGCCGGCGGTTGCAGCAGAGCTTCTCGGCGACAAACTTGCGCAGCGTAATGCCCTCTGGCAGGTCCAAGAGCCCATCCAAAAAGAACTCCACGAGTGCGATAGCGTACTCTTCTTCCGCACGAGACCACACTCCACTACGGAGGTGGAGGCACTTGTCGTCCAGGGGGGACGATGGAGCTTGGGGGCGGTCGTGGTCGATCGCAGCGTCTGCTTGCACTAGTAAGTCCAACTTGGACATGTTCTTGGCGAAAAACGGCACGTGCTGCTCGGGTGGGCCCAATGTGCGGCACGACGGCGTTTCGCCACGAGCAGCGGCCGCTTCAGCGTCGTCGTCTGCCGCTCGCTCACAACCGGTTGTGACCTCTCGCGCCTCTTGCGGACTCGCGTAGAAAGCGGCGTCTCGAGGCGGCTCGGCACTCGGCTGCTGGAAGTCCTGGAGGATCGCTACGGCGCACTGGAGCTCGTCGATGCTCCAGTTGCGGTTGCTCTCGAGCGAAGGCGGAGACGGCGAAGGCGGCGGCGGCGCGTTCACTGCACGCGCCTCTTCCTCGAGGGCGGGACTGAGGATCATGGCGAGATCCATCGAGACGGCTGATCGGTTCGCCTCGCGCGGGCGGGCAATAATCGGTCGGTCGCTCGGGCAATAATCGGTCGCTCGCTCGGCTTTCGCTCTCCTTTTCTCTTCAGCGCGACGCGGGGGAGAACTGGAACTGAAGGCCGGCGCAGAAACGCGGACCAACCCACCAACCACAGCCCATGTCGCGATACGACACATGTATAGCTGTTCGTTCGTGTGTCACATCACGCTTCGTCTTGGCGGGTGTATCGAGTTGCCCTCAGGTGCAACTTCGTCCTGTACATTCCATGATTTTCAAGACGAGCACGGAGACATGACGAGAGACACTCGTTTTTGCTCGCCACCTCAATGGCGACACGACATGGTGGCGCTTCTACTTCTTAACAAACGGAGACTGAGCAACTGTCGTGTAGAGCTTCGGCCACTTGCGAGTTGTTGCCGAGCGCTGGAGCTCCGCGCGACACAGGTCGGTAGTATCGCGGGTAGGGGTCGACCGACGCAAGGTACATGAAGTGATAAACAGCTTAGGACACTCCTGCGCAAAAAAGTCGAAGATGCGATAATGTGCGCGGGGAAGGGAGCAATGCTTGCACGTAAACGCGTGAAGAGGGCCAGCGTTAGGCTACGCAGAGCATGCCCCACACACGCAAAGGACGCGCGGAGCCATACAATGCCGAGACGGCCCTCTTTCCCGCGAAAAGGGGCCCGATGCTCTACTTGACAGTGTGGCAGTCCTGGTTTTGTACCTGATCCTCGTCCGCACATCGCTAACCAGGCTCTGAACTGAACGCCTGCGTACTGCCTGCCAACTCATTTCCACTCATTTCCCAGGCGACACGCGCGCACTCGACGGTCTATCCGTTAGAAGAGGGTTCGATACATGGCGCAAAAGCTCAACCGAGCGCATGAGCGACCATGTCGACCTTTCGGGAGGAAAGAGCGCGGGTATGTCGTAACACCATGTAATAGGGGTAGGGTAGCTAGTGCTAGGCTCTGGCGCACGAACTGGATCTAAATCGTAAGATGCAAAGTCATGCCGCACGTGTCACTGTCTTACGTTTACATAGCGGCCAAAAGAGTGGGCGAGCGCAAGAGTGCTTTGCATTCATGCAAAAAAACAACCTTGTTTGCGATCGTATTGGAGGGATCAGACTTGCAGTTGGTTAATTTGGTGAGGTATATTCGGGCACGCAAACGACCCACTATATCCGGTATGTTCCAACCATGGTTTTTGAGAGGTAGTGGCAGGTTTTCCAGCTACTGCGGGAATCATACTGCGATTGTCACCCTCAGGAATTTTAGACTTGTAGTTCGCCAACTCTCCGTTACTGCATATTGTAGCTGTATGTACCAACTGCTGAATGTGCCTTCGTGTGTACCTTCATCCCGGACCGAGGTCCAGAGTACGTGTTCGTATATAGAGACGCGTACAGATCTGGTTGCGGATCGAAGCCAAGAGCCTCTGTTCTGCGCTGCGGTAGTCCCCCAGGATCCCTTTTCTTTCACAATACTCACAGCAACAGCTTCAATTCGATTTGTTGGTAATTTGCATGATCAACCCCAATATCACAAGTTAGCCCGTTGCAGACTGACCAGTAGCAGATCATTAGCTTGCTAGAAGAGATAGGTGTCTGGCGCGCATCGATATGTGCTGCTCAAACTTACCACACTAAAGCGCGTTTCGTGCGTTGCTTATGATTACGTCCATCTCGAACAACAAATCCAACAGGTTTTATCAACCACGCAAAAGAAGGCGCACGAATCACGACGTTTCATATTTAGATGAATTGTGCGAAGCAGTCGACGATTCCCCAAGACCAAATGGACTTGGTCGTATGCATTTTCGAGTTAAATACGAACGAGTGCAACAATTTGACAAGTGTTAAGTCGTTTTTTGGCTATGAACATGAACTTAGCATACACGACCGGTCTTGACCGCTTCGACAGTACATCGTAGCGCGAAGGGACGACCGATGTATATCACCTGCCAACGATGTAACAACGTCCAATGTGATGGAAAGACGATTTGACTTTTCGATCATGTTGCGTCAGTCGCTTGTATACACCCCACGTCGAATACTGCTATCGGTTCAGCATTCGTCGCCATTCTGACGCCGCTTGTTCTCGGCTAGTTTTCACACAGGATGCTAACCGCATGAAAGGGGCTGCTATACAGGCGGGATCTCAATCGCGTTTTTATCGTGTTGACAGAGAACGTCTGTTTAAGAACCCACAACTTCAATTGCTGGGTTGGCGCGGGTGTTAAAGCAATCAAGAAGCGACATCGAACAGAAGCCCATGACATGATGACGTGAAACAGGTCACTGGCGAAGTTGCCGCGCGCGTATGGATCTATTCAATCGATTCGCATGGTGGCCGAGGCCGCGTGATATCCCAAAGACCAATGCGACTCACCTTGTATTTTATTTGCTATAGCGCGACACGTATGGAACTCGCTTCAGCCGCAGCATTGCTAGGGGATAAAATAGCAGGTTGGAGACCTGACAACCTCTGCTAAGCCATTGGCTGACCTTGCGGAAGGAATAGACATGTCGGCTCGCGTTCAACCAGCGCTCTAAGAGCTTCGCCATACCAATGTATGACATCAACTGCAGCAATACGTTTTGATGTCCAAACCTGAGCTTCGACACTGTCTGGCCGTGCGTATAAAAGATCAAACTAAGGCCGCGGTTGTCATGCAAACGTTTGTCATTACTAGGTTTGACTGCGACTCCATGTGGAGGACTCGCGCCTACCAGGTCATCTACAAGCTGTAGTCTCATCTCACGGCTCGGTTAGCTTCATGTCCTTAGTGTGGTATCATTAGCACAAGCGCCTTTTCGCACTCGTGTCGATCAATCGCTGTGACGTCGACGGCAAGGCTACAAAATAGCTTTTAATTGGTCGGAGAAGATCAGTATGTGGCACAATTACACGTCCACATTAGCGTTGGTGTTACAAATAGCTAAAGCAAGCAAGTCCTCGAGTCTCCGCAAGTGATCCGGAGCAGGCTCAAACTTTCGCGAGGCCAAGTGTTCAGCTTTCTAAATTTTTGTGCTGAACAAGGTACATAAGGGTCGAACTATACCTCTCGTCTCTTCGCATCATCAGTATGTCCATTACGTAACGTGCAGAAGTGGTAGAGCCAGTGCGGTATGGGATAAAGTGGTCCGACACAAAACTGTCCAATTTCATTTAGCTAAGATAGCCGGTTTGTCGACAGGCGTCCATGTTGCTTGACTAGTAGCAGATAGTCCGGGCTACTTCTTGCGTGGCAGAAGTTAATGCTGCTAATAAAAGCTGTGTTGAACAATCTTGTTCAGACAATGGCAAGGATACAAGGCATAAAGTGTATTGTGCCATGACATATTCGTCGACTCGAACAGCGCTGATAGTTTACTTTGGAGTGAAGCGGCATCGCGAAATATCAAGAGAAGAGCACGGATAAAGCAGATGTGAGGACAGCTTAATGTATGCGATCAGTGCGTCGTTGGGCAGAAGATACCACTAACTTGTTCTTCATAAAATTGGCATGCTTTAACAGTATACCGCCTCGTCTAGCAGGTAGACCAAAACGCAATGAGCGTCACAGTGTCCATCACCTTATTAGCGTGAAGTGTCTGCGGACACTGAACCTCCGTGCAAAAAGAAAAGAGCATCAAAATAATTGTTTGAACGCCCGCGGAATATTAGCACTACAATCAACCCTATGTTGACGTCGCTTGTTGTACCTGATCGCTACATGCACACGTGACAGCTTCTACGCCAAGCGCAGAGGCTAGATCGCGCATAGCTTAATATTTCTCGCTCACGTCTTACTGTAAACTGGTGCTTTATTCCATAATTGACCAGGTGGTCTCTACATAGTACATATAAGCTTCCTGATGGCATCAACGATTTTCAGTAAACCACAGATACCTTTGTAAATGACCCTTGTCAAGGGAATAAGCAAAGTTTACAATATAGAAAGTAAATGCCGAAACAAAAGACGTTGACCTCCACAACAGTGCTAACCGCGGCGATTATACAGCCACCATAATACTCACCGATAAACAGTGTTGCTTGGTGACATAGGCACAAGTTTATCAACTTGTGACCGTCTTTAATTCGTCCAAAGATGTAGCTCATCACGTGCCAACTTTGAATGTTATACAGAGCATACATTGCTAGAATGTACAAATCGTTTTACTTACGTATTACTTCACTTACATGTTTCTTTAATTCTCCGCGCGGATGATTAAATTATGCATGGAGGCCGTGATGGCGTGGTCGGGTAGCACGAAGAACTAAATGTAACGGAGTGAGCTCGTTACAGGACATTGACACATTTATTGTTAACGCAAATACTCTCGCTGGGAATTTCATTGCTTTTTGACTTGATATAAAACGCTGGACATAGACCATCCAGCAAAGAAATATATCGTTTAGGGGATGTTGGATGGCACACTAAGTGGTGGTCAGATGGCTATATTTTTGTGTTTGTCTTATATGTATGCATAAATCATTAACTACACAGCTGAAGATACTTAAGCCTGAAAGTAGTGATGAGCATTACGCATCTGCGATGTTTATAACCATTTCGTACAATGAAAAAATATGTTCCATATCGACAACAACCGTATTGCGCATACTTTATTTGCGTCGACGCTTCGAGTGCAGCCTAACATAGTTGTTTATCAAATGTGTGAGATACAATGCTGGTTTGTATTTCCATACCCAGCATATGTGCTTTGACATCGTAATTTGTGTATTTATTGTCCCGAGCAATTTGTCTTAATTATGTGAAATACAAAAGCACCATATTCGAATAGCTAGTCGTCAAAATCTCCTCAGAAATTTTATGGAGCGACTTGAGGCAGAATAAACAAGAACAATGTTTGATAACTTTACCTGGATGGTGTAGCTAGCTTTGAAAAACTATACATAAAATTGTAGGTGGTCAAACCCGTTGATACGAAAAATTGCGGTATAGAAGTTTTGTTATGAGCGATCAATAGCGATAGATA